TGTGTGTGGCAAGTTTAGCTTGCAAGCTGGGTAAAGTTTCAGACCCTTTGCATTTCCTGGCACTCATCAACCCCACGCTCTCCTCTTCCTTCAGGGAAGGAAGGGTGTGGACAGCATTCTTTAGCACTCATATCTAAATGAATTCATACGTATAAGTAAATATAGATATGTTATATATTTAGTACATATTATATGTTTAGTTATATATATAACTAAAATTAATATAGTTAACTATACTGTGTTACCTATTTGAAAGTTGCTAAGACAGTAAATCTGGAAAGTTCTCATCACACAGAAAAATTTTTTTGGCACTATGTAAAGTGACAGATGTTCACCAGACATTGCGGTGATCATTTCACAATGTACACAAATACCGGGTCATTATGTTGTACAGCTGAAACTAATACATTATATGTCAACTGTACCTCAGAAAAAAATAAATTTAAAAAATGACCAAATTAAGGGGTAAATTCTGATTTATTTTTGTGCTCCCTCAAAACTTCATCATGGCCACCTATAAGAAATGTCACCAGGTACAAGAAAATTAATAGTTAAATCACCAATAACTACATCTCTGGGAGGAGGGGGGTGCTCAACAATCCAGACACTGTGGTCAGCACCTTTGCAGGGTGTCTTAACTTGGGGACTGGTGAACATGGATGGGAAAAAGAGCTACATCTTCAAAATCTCTAACCTTGAACTGAAATCTGGTATACCCTTCACGTACGAATGTAGGGAACAAACTACAGTCAGAAGACCCTGTGCTTTTGTCACCAAGGAAAATCAGACATTTTCGCATTGATGAGGAGAACAAAGATGCAGCTTAAATTAAATCTCCTTACAACCCGCAGCCCACTGATAAACACCTGAGACACGCTGGGCCTGACATCCCTCAAGGAACTCAGGGCTGCCTTATTAAAAACCTAAAGCTACCTTATCTTAACAATAGCCAGACCTCCAAGGGCTTGGGCACCCTGCTCTCAGCATACAGAAATTCCTGCAACTGTCTACCTTCCCTCCCTCCACAAACTTAAAAGCATATCATCAGTCTCTCCTCAAAATCACAGCTGCAGCTCTTCCTGCCCACGGGTCCCGTCCCTGTGCTATAATAAAAACACCTTTTTGAACCGAAAACGTCTCAAGAATTGGTTCTTGGCCGTTCGCTCCCGACCCCCGCATCAAATCACATCAGTATCTCGTTCTTACTGGTTCGGCATTACGGTAGTCCTAAGACGGGTCTTGTCCTTTAATAGTCAATACGTTAACGCAATGTTACTTTACTTGTTTGGTAACTGTTTTGTGGTTTAACTGGCTTTTTTTTTTTTTTTTTTTTGGTCATTCTGTGTATTTTTTACGGCTTTTTAGACTATAATCTTGAGAAGGGCTCCACGGGCTGCATCATGAGGCCAGAGGCCCCCGGGGAAACGAACAGACGCAGAGGCCGCACACCAAGAGACATGGGGTTCCGACAAGCCCCTCACCGAAGGGGACTTGGGGTGAGCGCCCGGAACCCCAGGCCTGACCAAAGTTGCGAGGGGTCTGAGCAGCAATAGAGCGAAGGCGCCTCGCTGCCCCAGCCTCCCTTACCTAGCTGGAGTCAGGACACCGCCCTCCTGGGTAGGGGCCCGGGACACCGAGAGCTGAGGCCTCCCAAGGCCCTAGAAGGGCCGGAAGTGCTTCTTCCGGCCGCGCCCCGGGCGGATGCGCGTGGGCCTCCGGATTTCACGAGGCAGAGCCACGTGCAGAGCCACGTGCAGAGCCGTGCGAGGTGCTGAGGAGGCCTGGCGCCGGGGTTGCAGAGATCACTGTGAGCCCTGCTGCGGGTAGGGCTTTTAGAGTAGGCAGTGAGGCCCTAACGGATGCCCGGAGGCCAGCAAGGAGGCGGCCGTGGCCCGCTGTGGGGAAGGCCAGAGGTCCGTCCTGGCCGCGTCCACGAGAGGCCGGATCCCACCAGACAGGCCCACGACGGCGGCGCCAGGACGGGAAAGCCCTGAACAACTGGGAAGAAAAGGCGGGAAGCCCTGCTTCCGGCCCCAATAATGACTGTTCCGCCCGCTAGTTAACAACCGTCGGTAAAAGAGGCCCAGCCCTCAGGGCGCACAGTTCTCGCTCTCGCTCCCTGGCTGCCTGCTCTCAGGTCTGGGGATTGTACTTCCCGCGTTAATACGCTCGGCTTGTGTCGCTTGTCCTCTGTGCTGCGCGTCTGTCCTTGAATTCCTTCTCGTGGCACAACCGAGAACCCTTGGCGACCCCTCCAGGTTTGAGTGAGCGGAGACCTCAGGGCCCGGGGTCCCCCCAGCTCACCAGGCAACAGAACCAAGAGGGACAAGGGTCGACACAGGAAAGTAAGTGTCCGTCTCTCCTTTCCAACTCTTCCAGGACCAGTGCCTCAGTTTTGAGGGTCAGAGTGTTTAATCGTGGAAAACGCAGGATCGCTCAGTCTGTTTGGTGTCAGACACCCAAGTTCTCAGAATACTCATAAGCCAGGCTGTTAATTTATCAACTTGCAGATACGAAGGTAAGTGCCAAGTGGACCGGAAAAGTGGACAAGGAGGTTTAAAGTGTAGTTTATTTCCTAATTTGCTCTCCCCCGCTTAGAAATATTTGTCTAAAAAACTAGCATCTTTGTACGGAAAAAATAAGCCTTTCTAGATTTATGTTGCTAGAGAAACACTGAAATCCTAAATTCTGTAAGACCACTTCCCCCTGGAATTTAGGGTCTTTTCATTACTACCCTTCTTCACCGGAAATTACAACTATTTAGCACACAGCATATTATTTCTTGCATTTCATTGTTTCCTAATGGCATCTTGGGAAATTCGTTGATTTACTCAGAAACTGGATGGATTACATTTGAAAGTTATACCACTGGTCTTTTCAACAATAAGGAAACTTCTAGGCCCTAGAGTTGTAGACCTGGGTCTTAATTTGGATTTTTCTATTCACTGTATGATCTCAAAGCAAATTATTTAATCTCTATTTGTCTCAGTTTCACTAAATGTAAAGTAAAATGGGGAGAGTAATAATCTGCTCATAGGGTCATGGAAATCACTGGACACAGTGTTTGGCAAACAATGACCTCTTAAGAAATACCTTATTATTGTGTAACAAAAACAAAAACCTACTAGAATTTGGTTATGCATTTGAATCTTTTTTTTTACTCAACAATTTATTGAACTTCTACTATGCACCATATTCTCTTAACATCTTTGCATGTGTTATTACTCTTACTAGAAGGCTTTCCCCCACTCCTTCCTTGCTTGACCAACTCCTCCTGTTCCCATTTTGCTGCTTCGGTGTCAAAATGACCCAGGAAGTTCTCCCTAAAACCCCTTTATGCTCTGGCATCAGGGGCAGGGCTCCTGCAGTGTTACCACCACACTAAGCACAGTACTGTGTGGTGACTTTATTGCATTTGAGGACAGGTCGTGTTTTTCTTTGGTCCTGACCCGTTGCTTAGAAAAGAGAAAGCACAGATACATGTTTGCTGTTTACCAAAGAAAATGGGGTGGGAATAGTTGAACAGAGGGAAGGACAGTAATACAGCATAATAAAGTAGAATTTCTTGCAATTCAGTGTGACAGCCATCTAATTGGTCTTCCTCCTTCAACTCTTGCCCTCCCTTGACAGCCTATTGCCCACCCCCAACCCCAACGCTTAGATGATGCTCTCTGTTGGGAACTCTAATTGTATCCTCTCACTTTCAGAGAAAAATTACAGCTTGGAGAGTCTTCCATTTCCTGGCCCCTGGCTATCTCTGCAATCATATCAACTATCACCTTTATCCATCTTCTTTCCAATTTAGTCACTTCTGCTTCCTTGTTCTTCCTCAACAAGCCAAACAGCCAAACACATTTTCACCTCCTGTCTGCTGGAGTGCTTTTGCCACATATTGACATCTTTTGTTCCTTTATTTCATTAAGTTCTCTGCTCAAATGTCGTTTCATCATGGAGGACTTCCCTAACCACCCTATCGAAATAGCACCCACTTTTACTTGTTTACTTAAGGCCCCTCCTCACATAAATCTGTGTATTTTCTAATTCTTCCCCCAGGCCCAACTGGAATATAAGCTTGGTGAAAGCAGAGAGTTTGTTTTTTCACTGCTATGCCCCCAGCACTTGGACAATGCCTAGCATTAGAAAGAGTAAAAATGGGAATAAAACTGTGTGGCAACACAATTGTCTGCACATACATAATACACAGTTTACCTATGTAGAAAACCCAAAAGAACATACAGACTTATTAATGAGAGTTTAGCAAGGTTGATAGGTATAAACATCAACTTTAGCTAAGAACAGAAAACATAGTAACCAAAAATATACCGTAAGAATAGTGTCAAAAAGCATAAAGTCCCTAGGAAATATTAACAAAAGACATTCATGGAGAAAATTATAAAACTTTATTGAAAGACATTTAAAAAGGCTAAATAAATGGAGAAGTGTATCATGTTCATGGATTGGAAGACTCAACATTGTATTTAGTCTATAAATTCAATACAAATCCAATAAAAATTCCAACATTTTTGTTTTGTTTTAGAACTTGTCAATCTAATTCAAAAGTTGTACAGAAGAGCAAATGGCTAAGAATAGCCAAGACACTCCCGAGGAAGAAAAATTCGGTGGTAATTTTTTTGGAGGTGGGATTTGTCCTGAGATATCAAGACTGTTTTCTAAAGTTGTAGTACTCAGGGTTGTATAGTACTGCCACAAGGTTAGACAAACTGACCAGTGAGTCAGAATAGAAATCATCAACAGACCCACCCACACAGAGAGACTTTATTTATGAAAGAGCTGGTGTTATAGATCAGTGGGAAAGAATTAAGTGTTCAGAGAATGGTGCTGGGACAACCACCACTTACCCACATGGAAAAAATATTATATTGAACTTCTATCTCCTACTTTTCACAAAAATCAGTTCAGAGCAGACTAAAGACAAATGTCAAAAGACTATAAAATGTTTACAATGCAGTAAAGAATATCTCTATGTCTTTGGGTAGGAAATGATCCCCCTACCGCTAAGCTAATTTGTATTCAGCTTTATCAGATACTTTTCAAAACCAGTTACTTCCAGGAGGACATAGTTGACAATCCATAACGTTTTACAACTTTCAAACTCCCCTTCCCCAAAAGTCAACAGTCTTCTGTTGCTGTTTTGAAAAGGCGGAGTTCTCAGAAGGGGTGGGTGTCTCACAAGAGGCATGTAAGATCTTTTCACAGGTCAACTCGGACATGGAAGAAAGGAACTAAAAACTCTTAAGATTATCAATGGGATGATCCAGCAACTACAAACAGGAATCTTGGCTCTTTAGAGCTACACCATCTTGATGTTATCAACAGAAAGCCTGGGTATTGATACCCGACACAGGATTTTAGGGGGGCCAAGGCCACATCACAACTATTTCAGGAAGTCAAGTATATGCTGATGGCATCAGGAAAGAAGACATGAAGTTTTGCTTCTCTATGCTGTAAGGCTTCTAAGCCAAAGTGGCTGACATGTGTGAATGTCAGAGAATCTCTCCTGGGAGCCAAGAATAATCTTCAAAAACAAGGAAAGAAGATCCCATCTTCCCCATTTCAGTCCAGCTTCTGAGACATTCTATTAGTGGTATTTGCACTTACCACAAAAAAACAACAATGTGTCTTGTATGCTAACAACATAAGTTTGGGGGAGAAAAAAAACAAAACCCAAATTCTACATTTTTATAAAACTTGATTAAAGAAAAATAGTATTTCGAACAGTAGAGTCTCTAGAAGTACAGAGCTATCAAAAAGAGTACACTTCACTTGGCATCCCCACTGCCTTCTGCTTTCTGTGGCTGGACTGTGGAAGCATCTAGGTTCTTTGCAGCGTTGTTCCCCTCCTTGCCACCATCCGCTTTCCCCTTTCTCCCTTTGGGCAGCTTCTCTCCTTTCTTCGCAGGGGCCTTTTTGGGCCGGGGTTCTGGTTTTGGAGGAGCCGGTTTAGCAGACAAGCGTGCCGATCTCCTCTGTGGCTCATCCTTCACCTTCCCTTTGTCCCCTTTAGCATCGCCTTTTGCCTTTCTCTTGGGCATGGTGGTAGCTGCGCTGGGCAGGTGGCTTGGCCAGTCCAGGGAGGGGGGCGGTTTCTGTCTTCCTCACACTGCTTCTGGAAAGATTTCTTTAACAAACACAAAAAGTGTCAACCATAACGGGAAATGACAAATTTAACTACATTAAAATGAATAATTTGTGCAAATCAAAGATAGTATAAAAAAGGAAAAAGGTAAGTCACAAGCTGGGCAAAGATATTCATAACACATATAAGTGGCAAGGGATTTGAATCCAGCACATATAAAGAATTTCTACAGATCCATGAGAAAAGGACAAAAGGAAAATTTTAAAACAAGCAAAAGCGTTAATGAGTACTTCTTAGAAGTATAAATGGTGAATAAGCACATAAAAGTATGCTCAACCACATCAGTAATATGACAAATGCATACTAACACTTTACAACCATCAAATTGGTGGAAACTAAATTGTCTGACAAAATCAAGGGCTCAGCAGATGTGCAACAATTAAAACACTATACATTGCTGGGATGTGTGTTTCTGTGTGTATAAATTAGTGTATTAAATTTGAAAACATTCTGAAAAGCAATTTCACTTCTGGGTATTTCCCTAGAGGAATTCTTAGGAGATGTGCAGAGGAAATCCCTGCGAGAATGTTTATAGTGACTCTGTAATTTCAAAACCTGACACCACCCACTGGCCTTCAATAACAGAATAAATAGGTTTAGTAGCATCTCTGCAAGGGAATGCTATTCAGTAGCAGAAATGAATAGATTACAGCGACATGCAAAAACACGGATGAATCTCAAGAACATACTGTTGAGTAAAAATGACAGGTTGCAAAATATGTACAGTACAGATCCACTTACAAGTATAAAAGTAAATGACATGTTTAGGCTACAAGCATGTAGTAAAACTAAAAAAAAAAACAAGGGATGAAGATAAAAATCGGGACAGTAGTCACATAAAAGGGGGCTGAGAAAGGGACGGTGGTTGGAGAGGGTAAGAGAGTCCAGGGAAAGGGATGGGGGGGTAGCATTTTCTCCCTTGAATGGAGGGGGTGGGGTGGGGAGGAGGGGGGACATAGCCGACATACTATTCTCTAGATTCTACACAGATGTCTCTGCTCAAGAATTAATAAAAACTACTTTAAAAAAGTACGTAGCCCAAAGCACAGATTTAGGGATACACAGAATGGAAAGTGATTTATTTTGAGTTTGGGTAATTAGGACCTGGGCCGATGGCTGGCATTCACAAGCACTGTGTGAACTTTTTTAAGGCTTTAGGCCAAGACTAGCTACATCTCTGCCCCACCCTTGAAAACATTTCCCGGGGAATTCTGTAATCCTATGCCCTGTCCCACTCCACAATATTTTATTTTAAGAAAAAAAAAATTATCTCATTCCTAAATTCCTCCAGAGTCTTATTTTGCTGTTTTGTTTTTGCTGGACCTCACTATATAGATACATGATCCTTGAGCAAACTTGGTTTTGATTTTTATCCACCTATAAATGGTGCTAAAACATCAAATTATCTATTTTTCTCCCCAATTTTTCACCATGACTAGAATTACTGGAAATTTTGCATTTTTCCTTTCTTCTTGTGTAATAGAGGGAGAAATATGTTAGTATAAAGAAGAAAGGAGAAGCAAAGTGCCTTGAATCAGTGTGTATTTTTCCCTTGGTACCTTGTAAGAAATTTTGCGAACAGATGGAAATTGAGACGAGAAACACTTCTATTCTCATGCTGAAAGCAATTCACTGAAAAGCTAATGTGAAATTAGCTGGATTCTTCTCTTCCCTTGCCTCTAAATATCCTAAATGCCTGAGAACTGAAAAGTCCCTGTTACCACAGACACGCGCTGTAGTTCAAATGATCCAGCAGACTCAACCTGCTCTCTCCCAAGGACACGCTTCCCTAGACATGACATGAATTTATGCCTAATTTATTCTTTTTTCTCTCTCCCAAATGTACCACTAAAGAAATGTGTGAACAATCCTTACACAACAAAAGGCTTTTTTTTTTTAAATCCAAATTCTGACACAATAAAGAAAATAATTTTTAAAGAAAGTAATTGAGGACACCAGATATCACATAGGTCAACTCTGGGTGTGGTAAAGGTGTGCCCAGAAGGGAACAGGTAGGAAAAGACAGCTGCTCTTAAAATGAAGGAACCAACGTTGAGAGATATTTTATGGCATGAAAATCATTTGCCTAGTGTTAGCGTGACATGGTTTATACCTGTTGCCGGGGTAGAACTATTAATGATGCTTCCATTCACTCTCAAAACTGTGCCAACTTGAATAAAAAATGAAAATGTCACTCTAAACCTTCTGCATATATTCTTAGAGGCCTTTTTGTTACCAGAGAATGAGAGAGGAAACCAAAGGGTGAGCTTTTGTTCTAGGACACACTTCCCTAAAGAATGGACACTCCATACCATTCTCCTTCCATCTCACTCCAAAACTGTGTTTCTTAGCCCACGTCCTGGTGTGGGAATGCTCACAGTCTGTTTCCTGGGCTGTCTTCTTCATGTTAGATCCCTTGCAGTCCATCCCAAGCAGGGGGGCCATGATCTCCACATGTCAAAGGCCGAAACACAGCAGGTAACAATAAAGATAAATTCAAGGAAAACAGGCCGCTGGCCGGATGCTGTATCTGAGTATACGCATACGGATTAGTTCCTTGAAACTCACCTTTAGGAAGCTTATCAGGAGACCTCGGGCTGACTCTCCAGAGACCTTACAAATTAGGAGACAGATACACAAATAAGGAAAAAGGGCCAGTGGGATAAAAAGTCATTTCATTTCCGTGAAGGCCAAAGAGGGATGGGGAAGACAGCGTTCTCACCACACAGTGGTGTTAACTGAAAAGAAATTATTTGAGGTGGAGTACCGGACAATGAAACTATTCTGTATGCGCTATAATTGTGGATACATGACCTTATGCATTTAGCAAAACTCAACTGTATACGAAGAGTGAAGCCTAAAATAAACAATGGACTTCAATTAAGAATAATGTGGAAACACTGGCTCATCAATTGTAACAAATGTACCGCACCAATGCAAGTTGTCATTAATAAGAGAAACTTTAATAATAGGAGAAACTACTTTCTGCTCAACTTATCTGAAAAACTAAAACTGGCCTTAAAGAAATAAAGTCTACTAATTAAAAATATATATAGATTTTAAGAATTAAAAAAAGAGTAAATAATTTGTTAGGCAATAAAATAGAGAAGTCATAGGATTATAAATACTCTATCATGCATGTGAGAGAAAAGAAATATTATGACCTGGCAGATAAATCATTTAAGTAATTTTATAACTTTGGGAATACAGAGAAAGGACTTTCAGTGCTATCACCAGGGCAAGAAATTATCATGACATGGCAACAATTTTTAAAGTTTTAGGAATTTAACAATTCCCCTTTGTTAAAATAACACTTCCAAGGACAGAAGTATATTAACAGAGAACAGAACAAACAAAATAGTAAAAGTGTTGAATCATTCATCCTCCCATTGCAAAGAATCGGGCCGAAATTCTTGTGAAGGCTCACAATTTAACTCTTCATTTAAGCAGATTGCTTGTTCTATAATGTGGAAAGGTATCTCTCCCTCAGCAGCCTCAGGGGAGAGGGAACATCTGCTCCATCCTTTTTAAACAATACTTTTGTTAGCTATGAGGACTTGCATATTTTCATTAGAAGCAGACCCACGAAGTTTAACTGGGAGAAGTGGCTTTAAAAACCTAAAAGTCAAATAAAAAGCAAATAGTCTGTCTCATCTGCAATAGAAATATGCAAATGATGAAAAAAATGAGGAGATGCAGGTGTGCTATAGTCTTCTGCGAGGTTAACTGCTGGGAAATCTCCAAACTCTGTCAGTAATATATATAATACATCGATCTTCGTCCCCAGAAGTGAGCTGAATTTGCCCCCCCACCCCCACCCAAATTCATAGGTTGAAGTCCTAACCCCGAGGACCTCAGACTGTGACTGTATTTGGAGATGGGGCCCTTAAAAAGGTAGTCAAGGAAAAATGAGGTCATGTGGGTGGGTCCTAAACCAATGTAAGAGTAGATGAGGGCACAGACAACACAGAGGGGTGACCCTGTGAAGAGGTAGCAAGAAGGTGACCATCTGTGAGCTAAGGAGTGAGGCCTCAGAAGAAACCAAACCTGCCACCATCTTGATGCTGGACTTCCAGCCTTTAGAACCGTGACAAAATAAATTCCTGCTGTTCTTGACATGCAGTCAGTGGCATTTTGTTACGGCAGCCCTAGCAGACTACCACAGGAGGGAGGAGTGTGAAGACCTTAGTGACCTACGACACATCTTGGATTAGATTCAGTTTGCGGTTTTGCATAGCTCTCAAAATCCTTTCCCCATATTTTTTTTCTCTTTCATTATAAGCCTGTCTCCGGTGTCCATGGAGCGAATCCTACCTCATCCTACACACCCCACCCCATTCCCAGCAAACAGGTACAAGGCACATTTTAGCAGCATCCTTTTGCTCCCTTGACTGTTACTGACCTGGATTTCTGGGAGACAGTTCTAACTTGGGTTCTGGTCTCAATCCCACCCCAAAGTCAGAAGGCCACCTTCTTCTCTCCGTGCCTTGGGGTTGGAGGGAAGGCCTGGGAGAAGGCCGCTAACACCAAGCTTAGGAAAGAGACGATAAAGGCTATAACAAAATAAAATAAAAGATCGTAGGTAAGGTGCCGTGTGCCCCAGGACCAAGGGCTCACATGGCGTCAGCCACTATCTAGGGCCCGCTTGTTCTCCACCTTCCAAAGTAACTATCAGCCAAGGTGGGCAGCCTGAGCTTCCAGTTGGCATTGAGGGAGACGGGGGGAGGGAAGGGTGGTAGAAGGTGAGAAAGGCAGAGTGTCTGAAAGGGTAGGGCTCCTTCCGCATTTTGCCAGAAAACACCTGATTTGAAGAGAAGCAGAGAGTCAGAGGCTTCCAGTGAAACCGTCACCCCCCCTGCAACTGGCTGGCTTGGGCACACTCGGTTTCCCAGCTGAAGTACTCCTGGCCACTGGCATCACAGAGGGATGGGAGGGGACACATCTCCCAACACCTCCCAGGCCCCTGGGACCCCTGCCTCCTTTCAGGGCACCACGTTAACTCACTTGTATTTCTGGGCGGTACAGAACAGATTTCAAATGAAAACGTCTTAGATACATTCCTACTGAGCACATACCAAAGCTGATTATTATCTTGCTAACAAGGGAATTAACAAGATGATAAAAGCAAGGGTTTTTCTGAGAAAGTATGAAAATGGAGGAAGAGGGAGCTGCGGAGAGAAAGAGAAGGAAAAACAGCTCATTAGGTAACGATTGCCCTTTCTTTTCTCATGGCCATAAAAACATCACGTTCATAGCAGTCGTTTCAGGGAACCTAGAGCAACGGGGTCTGAGAGACCAGGCTTGGCTAACCCCTAAAAGTAGTAGTTGTAGCAGCAGAAATAAAAACAATAGAAGTAGGAGTAGTCGTGACAATACATCTAAGAAGGAAATCCTGAGGCTATCCCCGAGGCTGTCAGGTGGAATATCGAGACTTCTGCGCCAGAAAAAGCCCGATGGAGCCAACTAACATGGACGCAGGCCGTGTGTCAGCCAGAGGTCGGAGGCCACACACCAGGGCTCAAGACCCGATTTTAAACAGGCGCTGCCGGGGACTCCTCCCAAGCTTCGAGGCAATACGCGGAACCCCAGTTGGTCCGCTTCTTAACTTCGGGATCGTTCTCCTTCTTTTGGCGGGGAGCGCAGAAGGCCAGCGTGCAGGAGGCCTGGGGCCTCGGCGTCCGCTCGGCGGGCTCTCCCGAAGGGAGGCCTCACGGAGCGGGGGCGAGCGGAGGGAGAGGCCGCGCCCAGGCCGCGCCAGCCCGCCCGCCCGCTTCCAGCCGCCGGCCTGCGGGTGCAGTCCTTCCACACGCCCTCGTCGCCGCCCCGCCTCTGCCCGGGCGTCTCCGGGCTCCGCGGGGCTGCGGGCGCCTCGCCCAGAGGTTCGCGCTCCGGGCCGCCAGCGGTGCCGTTCCTCCGGAGAGGCGGGCCGGCCGGCGGCCCTCACCGCGACCCGGCCCGACGGCCGGAGGGTCCCCAGCCCGCGGGGCGGGGGGGGGGGGGGGGGGGGGGGCGGCCCGACCACGCCGCTGTCGGGAGGCGCGCACTCAGGCCTCCGCTGCTTACCCGAGTCCCGCGGCCGTCCGAGAGGCGCGGGCGCCCAGCTGCGGCCAGGGCCGCGCGGGTGCCCCAGGCTGGGGCAGGGCCGGCGCGGGCCGTGGGGCCGAGGGGAGAGGCGCGCAGCGGGCTCTGCCGGGAACAGGAAGGCGGCGGGCGGCGAGGAACCGCTTCCGGGGCTGCGGGCGGCCGGCCGCCTCGCGTCGGAGCGGGGGAGAGCCGCTTCTCCCCTCGCGATACGTCAGGCCGCCGCCCGGGCCGCCGGACCCCGACCCACCTCGGGCGGCGCCGCCTCCGCACCACGGCCTGGCCACAGGACGACAGAAGGCGGGGAGCGTATTTATGAAGACGTGATATGTTTTTTTTAAATGCTAAGACAAAATTTTAAGGAATTAGTTGCAAAACGAGGAGCGCGCTTGTTTCCGCCCGGTTTCGAACCGGGGACCTTTCGCGTGTGAGGCGAACGTGATAACCACTACACTACGGAAACGTGGCAACGAAAGCTTGCCCCAGAAGGCAGTTCCCCTGCAGAACACGCCCTTCCATCCTTGCAGATGACCGTGGTTTCTAGGTGCATGCCTCCGGGCCCCGCGAGCGCTCACACCAAACTCGCCATTGGGAAGCGCAGACCAGACCCTTGCAGTGTACAGACCTGAAGCCACATCCTTAAAATGGCCAGATGCAGGAAAACAACAGGAAGACTTCAATCTTTATGAAACTCGGTCGCAATGGGCGTGCCCGAAGACCGGGCACATTCCGCGGGCCGAGACGCGGAACCCGCTCTGCAGAGGAGTGATGACCCCAGCTGTGCTAAAAGCGGCGCCTTCTCGGTCTGGAGACCTTGCAGGCAAACTGCCTTTCGCCCGACTTTTCGAACTCCACGCAGCTCCTCGGCGGCGTGCAGAGGAAAGAAGTAAAAGAGCGCGCTGCGCCCCGAGCCAGCCAGGAGTCGAACCTGGAATCTTCTGATCCGTAGTCAGACGCGTTATCCATTGCGCCACTGGCCCGCGCGGAAACGTGGGGGCGCCTGTACGCCTTCGGGAGGACGCAGGCGCCGGGGGTCCCGGCGAGGCGCGCTCGCGCTCGGTCCGCGCTCCCCGCTGCGCAGGCTGCGCGCCCGGCCGGTCCGCCGGCTCGCGCCCCGGCGTCCGCGCCCGGCCCGCGCCAAGCCGCGGCGTCCTCTCTGCCCGCGCCCCCTCTCCATCCACGCGTTCGCTCACCAACCTGAGTTACCTACCGTTCGAGGCGCTGGAAGCCGATCCGAGAAGGAGAGAGATGTGATCCCTGCCCTTCGAGAAACTTACGACCACGAAGCACTAAATAAGTAAAATAATCGTGATAAGCACTTGGAGGAAAACGAACAAACCGGGAAGACTAGGAAAGCCCGGCAGCGCCGGCAATTGACGCTGGAGAAATGCGGCTACCAGGGAAGAGAGCGGGGAACGGGGGAAATCTCCGGGGCCGAGGCCTGCCGACCACCTCCGGTCCTGTAGACCCTCGCGACGGCTTTGGATGTGACCTGTAGGAAACTGGAAGTCGTTGTGGCCTGGCATGATCTGACGTGCTGTCCTGTGTCTCCTCGGGTCGTTACCCATTTTGTACTTCAGTACTTACTACGCAAGGCTCAGTGCTAAGCACCTGCTCGGCCTGTGCTTCTACCGCTGGGCCTACAACTCAGAATTCGACACCTGTAAAAGGAGCATCATCAGCCCGCGCACACACGGACGCTCTCACGTGTTTGCTTTCTTGGGAAGCAAGTAAGCATCTCTTATGTGTGCGGTTCAGCCTCTCTGTATTTCTGAGCAGTAAGCGTTATCTCCATGCCTGGGTGGGCATTGTAAATAAGTTGAGGGCTCTTAACAGATGGAGTAAAACTGCCTGATACTGAGAACATACACGCTGAGTTTAGAAAATAGTTGTTTTCAGCTCATAAGATGGCAGCAGTCCTTAAGAAGAATATACATGTTGCTACTCTTTCTGCATAACATTAAAGTCGCTCTAGTTAGGAATCTCCCCCAGGACAGTCGAGCAAGGGACTTCTGACCGGGTTTTGTACTGTACCCCTAGGGCACTTTGGTGGTTATGGACTGCCTCACAGAATAATACTTTTAAATATAAAGAAAAAACATAAATACCTAAGATTTCAAAGGGAAATTAACTATATTGAAATACGTTCTCAAAATATTAAACATTTATGATATGGTAATATTTGTGCTCCTTTATTAATGTGCTAAATGACAATATACAGCAGGAGGCCTAATAAATACTGTAATTTCAAAGCACTCATGAACATAAATGTTATTTAAAGAAATTTGTAACAACTGTACTTTGATGTGAAATATTTGTGATTTCCGAAAGTGATAAAGTAAAAAGGGCTGAACTACAACTGATCTGTTGCCTACATTCATAGTGGAAGAAAACCCAAAATTTCAGTAACAAGTTGGTCAAGATAAAAATGTATTTTCCCACCCAAGTTCACAGCCTATCCTCTCCCTGTAAGAAAAAGGTAGATTTCTAAAGAGAAGTTTGGAAACATGAACAATTATGCCTGAATTTTCAGAAATGAAACAAACAGGGGTACTTCTTGGTTCTATTTTATGCTCATCACATACCCAGCTGGGCAGGCCAGATCCCAAGGTGTCCCTGGAGCCATAGATCCCATCTTGCACCTCTAAAATGGGCTTCAACTCAGAGCTGGAGGCCCTGCCCACATTTGCTCTCCTCAGTGTCTACAAACACATCCCGTTGTTTTGTAGATTTCGAAAGCTTCTCCTGCTTCAAACTTCTCTGCCATGTTCACAACCTGACACGAGCTGAGGCAGGCTTTAACTTCGTTTTTGGAGATCTTTCTACTCACCTTCTTTTCTGAGAGTTCCAGTTTCTAGTTTCCAGTCTTTTCTTCAGTGGTTGTATCAGTCAGAGAAACGGAGTCCAGAAAAAACAGAACCAGTAAGAGAATATAAATGAATGAAAGAATGAATGAAAGGATGAATGAATGAATATTTCTAGGACTGGCAAGTCTGAACTCTGCTGGGCAGACCTGTCCTTCAGAAAATCTCAGGCAGGAGCTGATGCTACAGTCTTAAAACTGAATTTTTTCTTCCTCAGGAAAACTTCCATTTTGCTTTTAAAACCTTTCAACTGCTTGGAAATAATAATTGGTTGGAAATAATAATTGGTTCAACTGGCTGGCTCACCCATATTACTGAGAGTACTTATAATCAACTAATTGTAGATGTTAACCATATTTACAAAATATCTTCACAGCAACATGTAGATTAGTGTTCAATTGAATAACTGGATAGCATAGCCTAGCCAAGTGAACATATCATGCTAACCATCGCAGTGGTGGATTCCTCTAGTCCTCTGTGTCTCAAAACACTGTTCTTCTGGCTTCTCTCTCAAGCGTATGGAAAATGGCACTGTCTGCCCCTCCCCTGTTTCTTTACATTATTGTCAGCAGTCTGTGACACGGAGATCCGCTCCTTCTCCAATTTCAGACGTCTGCAACAGAGCCAGTGTGAGAGGCCTTTCCATGGTCGGCGCGAGTCCAGCTACTCACGCTGTTTGACAAAGTCCAAGTATGCGGGACAATCCTGAAAATCAGGAGACTCCACAGCTGGCTCCTGCTACTTCCTTTCATTTTATTTGCGGCGATCTTTATAATCATGGGATTTTTTTCTGGGGTTTCATGATAAAACGATTTATAAATTTAGTTATGCCTATGCAAGCAATCATAATGAAACTGATTCCAAAAAGGCTGACGATGGGCCAAGAAGTAAAAATACCCAATGTCCTCCAATCTGTAAGGGAGCTGTTGGATCCAGGCCCAGTAAAAATTCCTATTCATGAGATTCCTCAGGCACCTCTGAAACATCAGGATTCTAGGAAAGGAAAATCTCATGTCATTCCCACAGTACAGGGACCTCCCTATGTTGCATACAGAATAGGAGGCCACCTTTGGTATGCCCCTCGAGGCAAGCCCTGGTATAGGATTAACTCCCTTACCCCTACTCCTCCCATTCCTTATAATGGAGTTGATAATGAGGACATGAACAAAGGGTATAAGATTAAAGGGTGCGGGCATCATCTGTCAGCCTCTGGTTATAGATTAAGAGGAGTGATCCTCCGTGGTGTCTATGGAGGAAGGACAAGAGATGAAAACAGATAGAAATGGAATAAGTACTTTGGTAAGATAGGGTGCACACACTGTAAGCTGCCTTTGGAGAAAGAATAAACTTTAGATAAACCTTTAAGCAAGAGTAAAAATATAACTTCTTCGCTTTAGCACACAATAGCAGATAGGTCACGCTTCGTCTCGCACGGTCACGCTCTGTCTAGTACCTTTGTTTTTAAATCCAAAATGATTTAAGATGATTGTAATAAGATGTAAAAAATAAAATCACATGTTATGAAAGAATGGGAAAAACAAGGAAATATTCTAATGTATAAATAAAGTCCCTCCGAGGCTCTCGGGAGGAGATGCTTACAACCTGATCCTGTGTCTGTGTCTCCTCGCTCGCCGACGCCGTCCTTTCCTTCGAGGACCCCTTCCCTGCTGGGGCTGGACTCGGGCACATGGTCTTTGCTGGTGACACTGGGAATTGAGTAGAAGATAGAATTCACATCCAGATTTCTGGAAACCATTGCTCTAAGTCTCATTTTTTCCCCCCAAGATTTGTCTCTGGCTTGTTAAACAGCTTACTTCGCAGAATTTCAGTGCACATTTTGACAGTTGCTAACCAAAGGAAAAACCCAAACAAATTACTGTTGGCTCTGCGGTCTTTCGGGCTGCCTGCCGCAGTATGGTCAAAGCCATAGTAGGAGTGACTGTGCTGTTTGTGATTATATGGGCTCCAAGCACACTAATAATATGATGGCTAATTTTATAATATTAAAGAAATAGTTGCTTACTTCATGGAGTCTCCAACTGATTTCACAGACTTTCTATGTTTCACTGAAATGGGAAATCTAGCTGCGTCACGGGCTTTCACACCTCATCCTCTCACCCCCCACCATGTATGTAGGGGAAGGTAAGTGTCCGTTGCTGCCTTATAGAGGGTGACAGCGAAATCCTTCAAATATTGATACGGTTTAGAAAAACTGAAATGTTGATTTCGGCATTATCACCATGACA